GGCAAGGCGTGCGCGCGCTTGCCGGGGAACGTCGCGCGGGAGCCGTGCGCGTCCAGCTCTGCGGCCCTCGCGGCCGGTGGGCTACCGTTGCCGTCGCTCCGCCCTCCGTGACCAGCGCGCTGCTTTCCTAGGCCCGGCGGCGCCCAAGTTGGAGAGCCTCGGCCTCGCACAAGGCAGAAGCCCCTGCTGGGCTGGAGGCTGGCGCTGCGTGGCCCGAGGAGGCCGTGGCATTAGCGGAGGTGGCCGGACTGGAGCCCAGGGCCGGACCCAGCCCGGAGGTGGCGTCCTCGTGTAGGCCCCAGGTCTCCGCCTTCCCTGCGCCCTAAGGCTACTGTTTTCCAAGTTTCTGTTCCAACTTTTCTGGGCGCCGTCACTCTCACTCTTTACCTTCATTGGCATTTGAAATCAGGTCGTTCTAGACCTGCTTTAGTCTGGATGCAACCTTGGCCTCTTTGGATCTCTGTCCGACCCCAGGGCTCAGCAAGGCTCTATTAATGAAGTAGATCAACATAAAATGTTTGCTGAATGAATGAGTGAATTTCTAGCTGTCCTAGCGGTGCCGCAGTGCAATAAATAATAAACTCACGCCCAAGGAGTAAACCCAGATTAGATACAAAGTTAGCTTCATGGGCTGTGACCCATCCATAAACTCAGGTGTTAGGAGCTATTGCAAAAACCACTTTCTTCTTCCCACTAGGGTGAATTGAGGCCACATTTTTTTCCAGAACGGTTTGCATGTAAAGTGTTTTGCCCCGTAGGCAGACTTTGCGTTCTGTTTTTTGGTTTGGAAAATGAGGTGACAGTTCTAAAGAAGAACTAGTGATGTGAGTTGCTTGGTTAAAAAAAAATTAATAGACTGCTCAGTGGTTTGGGAATCAGAATTTGGGATGGACCACTGTTTTGAAAGCTATGATGCTGAGATGTAAAATAAATCTCGTGCTGTAGAAAAGAACTCCAACTTGACACGAAGAATTAGGTTTTTACTCTCTAGTTGAAGTGGGAAGCACCAAAATCCCCCAAAATGTTTCCCCCTAATTTGGTTATTTTGATAAAACGTTGAGTAGTGTACAGTTGGTAGCAAATCATGAAATGCTGGCTTTGAAATGCTGTCGCTTTTAGACTACCCTTCTAACTCTTTCCTACATCATTCATGACATGGGCTCATTCAGCCCCAAACTAGACAACTCAGTTACTGAAGCTCATGACCTACCAAGAGAGCTCACCCCACCTTTGTCGACTTTCTAGAAAAGTTTACTTCATACTGAGCCAAGAGTTGGTCTCTGTGTAACTCTTAGTATTCTGTTCTTGGAGCCAGAAGAATGAGTCTGATGGTGGCCTTCCAACTTTTTAAAGTTGAGCAGCTTGTTCCGTGGAGACTTCCTTTCACCAGGCCAACATCCTGTTACTTAGCTGGGATTTTGGAAATAATTTAGTGAAGAAACTATTTACAGAGGTGTGGGCAGAGTTAAGGGAACCAAGAAGGGATGCAGAGGCACCTAGAGACTAACAATAGCTGCAAGCCATTATCACCTCTAAGTGTGAACGGACAAGGAGACAAAAATGGAACCCACTGAAAACTGGAGCTATGGAAGAGGGGCTGCCCAACAGGAACTGTAGTTGTAGCGGGACACAACCACCATCAGAAATATGGAGATGGAGCAGGGAGAGAGTGCTAGAAGAAATACTCTATACATGCTCCCTCTCTGCCCTCTAGTCTCCTGCTGATGCTTCTCATTGGCTGAACCCCATGGGAAGCCACCAGGACAAGGAAATCTGGGTGATGCAATATGTAGGGGCCAACTCCTTTGGGCTACAGAGCAGGGGAGAGAATGGATCATAGTGGGGAGGTGGGAGGTGGAGAATAACTAGCAGACCTTCTCAAAGTGAAATGTCCAGAAATCAGCATAAAACCGAAAAAACCAAACCCGTTGCCATCAAGTTGATTCCAACTCATAGCAACCCTATAGGACAGAGTAGAACTACCTCATAGGCTTTCCAAGGAGCAGCTGGTGGATTCGAGCTGCTGACCTTTCGGTTAGCAGCCAAGCTCTTAACCACTACGCCACTGGAAATCAACATAGTACATTAGTGTTTTAATCCAGCCAGCCCAGATTGGAACAGGACTGGTTCTAGCATAGAGAGCATATTCTATTAGTGCAGGTAAGTTTGCTTTTCTTTACTGTGCCAACTATATCACACAGTTATCTCTCATTGAGCTTGCTATCAGCTTACTCAAAGACATTTTTATATTTGTTGGTGCTAAGCCAGACCCTTTTTCCTGTCTTTCATTTACGCAATTGGGTTTTTGAAACCAAGTGCAAGATCTTATTTTTATCCCTGTTGTACTTAATTGTTAAACCCTGATCCTGTTCATTCAGCCTATTAGCTAATCCAGGCAATGCCAACTGGTGATCTGAAGAGCACATGCCTCTCTAAAGGGGCCCAGCACCACCCAGCTCCAGCTGCTCACTGCTGCGTGGTGATGGTTCTGTGAGCCCAGTGGAAGCAGGCAGTGGGTTGGTCTGAAATGACCTGTTCTTGGTGAGAGTGTGCTGGACCGCAGTGACCAGTGCTTTCCTTGTCAAAGGTCCACCAACCATCTTAGATTCCCAGTTCCCTTATGTGGCCCTCCTGTGTAGGTTCTTAGACTAGCCTTTCAGAGTCTGCTTGCCAGAGGCACACTTTTTGTCCTTGTTCCTCCAAATCTGTCTCCAAGACTTGCCTTCCCAGGAACAGCATCTTGAATTGTATCTGCTAGCTAACCCCCATTGCTGTTGAGTCGATTCTGACTCATAGTGACCCTATAGGACAGAGTAGAACTGCCCCCATAGGGTTTCCAAGGCTGTAAATCTTTAGGGAAGCAGACTGCCACATCTTTCTCCCATGGAGCGGCTGGGGGATTTGAACCACTAACCTTTTGGTTAACAGCTGAGTGCTTAACCAGTGCACCACCCCACCAGGGCTCCTGCTGGCTAAAGGCACCCCAAATCAGGTCAGCATTTGTTTTATTATCCCCCAGAGTTCTGCAATTTTTTTTAGTTCCTGAAGTGTCCAAGGGGGGCTTTAATAATTCTTATAATAAAAATAATAATTACCATTTTGGTTCTCATTGGCTGTTCATTGTTGCTGGGGAAAATCCCCAACCCCTACTCATTGACTTCTTAACAGATTTATGGTTTGCAGAGGGGGACTGAGCCCTCAGCACTACTGGACAATCCTTTCTTTCTCTCCTAAGCAGCTTGCATTCTCATTTTTCAAAGTGCTTAGTCCAAACCATCACCACACAAACCCTTCCCTAGACCTTGAGTACCAGAAATTTGAGTACCAGGTATGAGTTCCTTCAAGTCCTGCAGTCCCACCCATATTTACACCTTTCGTTTCATGCTCCCTTCCTGTCCTAGTTCCTTCCAAGGAGATCCCTTCTCCTCATGCATAAGATGCCATTCCTCCCAGCTTCCTCCCAGACCTGGCGTAGTCAGATATCTCTTTCCTGATATCCCCAGTTTTCTCCTTGCCGCTCTTTCCCCCTGCTGTTGTTGTGTGCCATTGAGTTGATTTCAACTCAGAGCGACTCTATGTGACAGAGTAGAACTGCCCTGTAGGGTTTCCTAGGCCGTGATCTTTAAGGGAGCAGATCACCAGGTCTTTTCTTCCGCAGAGCCACTGGTGGGTTCAAACCACCAACCTTTCAGTTAGCAGCTGAGCGCTTAACCATTGCGCCACTAGAGCTCCTTCTCTTTCCCCCTAACATTCTAAAAATACACTCAAGTCTTTTCCATTCAAAGAAAATCTTCTGGTACTGGTTTCGTCTTAAGCTACCTGCATCTCTTTCTTTCTTTTGGGACCAGAGGTTTTGAGAGTTGTTTATACTGACTTCCTCTTTCTTATTTCCTAGTTGCTTCCTAATCCACTGTTTCCATTCTTTCATCAATTATTTATTGAGTGCCTACCATATGTCAGCCACTGTGCTAGCTGCGGAGAATATCACAAAGGACGAAAACAGACAAAAATCCTGTCTTCCTGGAGCTTACATCCTAGTAGGGGAGACAGAAAATTTACAAGATACATCAGTAAAACGTGTATTTTGTTTGAGTGGTGATGAGTGCTATCGAGCAAAATGAAGCAGGAAAAGGGGAAATGAAGTGTTGTGGGGTGGAAGATAGTGGGCAGTTTTAAACGGGATGGCTAGGGAAGATCTCACTGAGAAGGGATATTTGAGTAAACATCAAAAGGAGGGGAGACAGAGCCATGTGTACATCTTGGGAAAGAGTATTGTAGGCAGAGGGAATGGCAAGTTCAAAGACACTGAGGCAGGAGTGCATCTGGTGTATGGAGGACTAGCAAGGAGGTCACTATGGCTGGAGGAGAGAGAGAGGAAGATGAGGGGTAACTAGCAAGAGAGACCAAAAAGGAGCATCCAGTGAAATAGGAGGGAAACCCAGGGAGTGTGGAGTCCTGGAAGCCAAGTGGAGATTCCTTCTGTTCCCACTATTCAAGTGAAACTTCCCTGGCTGAGGTCTCCAAAATCTACTGTCTCCCTTTCAGTCCTGATCCAACTTGAGATCTTGGAGGCATCTGATGTTGTTTAACTTTCCCTTTTCCTTAAAATTATCTTCTCCGTTTTGACCTTTTCACCGCTGAGTTTGTCCCGTGTTTGACTGTTTTTTTCCTGACTCTTTCTCTGACTTCTCTTACTCTCTTTATCCCTTCAATAGTGTTTTCTGGGGTTCTGACTCTACCTGGTTTGCTCCCCACCTGCCTCCGGGTTATCTACTCCTATGGAGTTAATCACCACCTCCCACTGATGATTCCCAAATCCAGATCTGTCACTCGTAG